TGGAAAACAACTTAGTCTGAGGTGATTCTTGACTTAAAAATAATTTGCTGAAATGTTTCACTTAAAAACCACAGGTCAGAATCTTAACTGATGTAAACTGACAGAGCTTTGCTGTCTTCAACGAAGTTAGGCCAATTTATGCCACATCTGCTACTACTGAAGTCAATGTTTCACCCTGAATTTTATACTAGATAATGAAACACAACATGTTTTCTACCAGCAGTAGCACTGGTCCTTCAAGTAATGCATTCCTTCAGCCATTCTCTTAGGAAAAAAAAAACTGCCCTTCCATCACTAGATACATGTATATAATATATAGAGACAGACAAAAAAGACAGATGCATAAATGTGTCAGAACAGGATGTCCATTACTTAGAAAATGCACTCTAGTCCTCTTCTAATGTGAAGTACAGAAGGGATAAAAAAAGTGGAAAGTATAATTCCGCAAAATTTTATGAGCTGAACCAAAGATTTTTAAAATACACAGAGTCCGGAAAAAGCAAATATGTTACAGGTGGTAGTGTTATATAACTTCATATGCAATAACTTAATGTTTTATGTACATCATAAATCTGAACTAAATTTAGAGCTGCTTTATTGATTAAGAATGAGAAATAACCTGCAAGCAAAGTGATACCAGATCTTTTAAGTTCATCCAGTTAAAAATTAATTTTAATCTGTTGGACAATGACAAGAAATTTGGAATTAAGAGACAATAAAAGAAGCTGGGTTAGTTCTTCAGACAGCATCTATTGATTTACTCCTGCAATGTCTCTCTGAGCGTTCAAAAAAAAAAGTTCTATAGGGCATTCTCTATACCTCCACCTGTATGTAAGGGTCAAGTAAATGGAAAATCCTGTTCTTTCCTAAACAGGACTGTTCCCTGCTGGTTCACACAAACTACCCCAAAGGGAGCCCTGGGGAAAGGGAGCAGGGCTCCTTGCCCCTGCTCAGGCGTGCACAGGCAGGTGCATTCTGCATCCTGTTCTGATTTTCCAGTGTGTTTAATGCACCTCCGTGTCTCCCTGCAGTTGGATTTGTTCCTTTCAAGCACAGATCTGACTTGTGTAATTTTGCAACTGTTAAGTACAACATTCCTAAACATTCAATCCTGTTTCCTCAGAAGTCAGTGGGAGCAGAACATAGCTTTACTAATTACTTTCTCATTTTGTCTGGTAATTGGTTTCTTGTACTCTGTTGCGTTATGTGGAGAGAATGCCACATGTTGCCTAACCCCAGATCCCTGGAATTGGTGTAGGTGTCTGTTGTTAGGTCATCTCGCCTAAACTCAGCCTTGTACAATACAAGCATCTGCATATGGGCCAGTTTGCCCCGTTCAGTGAAGGTACAAATACGGCCTCTCCAATGGATGATCTCAAGCTTTAAATGAGGGTCTCCTCAGGTATTTTCTCCGCACACACAAGCTACTTTCACAGAATCACAGAATCACAGAATAGTAGGGGTTGGAAGGGACCTCTGTGGGTCATCTAGTCCAACCCCCCCGCCGAAGCAGGGTCACCTACAGCAGGCTGCACAGGACCTTGTCCAGGCGGGTCTTGAATATCTCCAGAGAAGGAGACTCCACAACCTCCCTGGGCAGCCTGTTCCAGTGCTCCGTCACCCTCAGAGGGAAGAAGTTCCTCCTCATGTTCAGACGGAACTTCCTGTGCCTCAGTTTGTGCCCATTGCCCCTTGTCCTGTCACTGGGCACCACTGAAAAGAGCTTGGAAAGAACTTTCTCTCTAAATATGTTCTTTCCTGCTTATTCATGGACAACGTGCTTAAAGTCTATTCAAACGTGAACTTTATTCTTCTCTCTAAATACTGTGGTTATTCACTTACACATCTGGAATGTATTGAAGCAAAGATTAGTCTGCTTTACTCCTTAGACTGTGGCGTAATTCACAACATATTAGGTTGTATACATTTGTGCAGATCATTTTTAATCAGATGCACAGCATGCTGTTCATATCCTTTTACCTTTTTATTATTATTTCTGATACTGTACTTCATCAAACTCAATTAGACCTGCCTAGTTTCATCATTAGAAATGGTTTTCTTCAAGTATGGAATGGGGCTGCGATATGCTGCTTCATATCGAGGAGATATTCAACAGATATAACAATTCATATTCCCATTACTTTATGACTGTCACACAAAGTAATTTATTTCCTTTCCCCAGACATAAAAATTGTACCATATTCCAGCCTCCTGCAGCCTGCTCCAATTGCTTCCACTGTCTCCTCTACTGCTTGCCACTCTTTTCTTTGAATTTCACTTCTCCATCCTTTTCAGTTTGGCACACACTAATTTCCTCTCCTCCATCGGACTCAGGCAGGTGGGTTATATTCACATAAACAAGCAATCTTATTAGACAGTATGTACATTCTCTAACTATTCCCCTAATCAGTTCACATTTACCTCTCTAAGTGCTTGAAAAATAAATAAGCAGATGGTGAAATTAGTTAATTTTCCACAAGTGTTGTGGCAGAAAATGAATCCTCAGGAAATGTTTTAGCTGACAATTTTTTAACTCAGAATCAACCACTTCAGTTCTACTTTTTACTTTTTTTGGTATGTTAGGGAGATATAAACTTTACATGGTACAGAAGCAGTGGCCCTTTGACACGTCCAGTGCTGCTGTCTGACATGACAACGTAAACTATCTGGCTCTCACAGATGCAGTGTGCAGGGTGCGAGGGTTAATATTGTATCCCCCCCCATTTTTGGTGTTTTTAACAGCTACCGTCAATCAAGCACCATTCTCTTCCCCAGCTCGGGGAGGAGATGCACATTTGAAATTCCTGGCTACGTGGTACAGGAAAGGAAGGAGTAGGCTCTGGCTGAGAGGCAGAGACAGGCCACATGATTGTTTTTCATTGCAAACATAATACATTCATTTATTCGTCTGATTTTTACCTTTGCAAGGGACAGTACCCAGACTGACTGTCAGTTTGTCAAAGCCTGAGAAGAGGTGCATACCGCTGCCTCCTGCTTGCCCCACCTTCTTTCTGCATGGGCAGACCTGGGCTGAGAAGGAAGTGACCCCTCCTGCACCACTGTCCAGAGGATACAGAAACTTGTGCCACTGGCAGTGCAGGTGAAGATGATTTCATGCATAGCTTAAGTATGAAAAGGAAATCAAAAGCTGACAGCGTCCGAGGCAGTTCAGATTAACACACTCCTGACTCCCCTGGCTAGCGAAGATGAAACCAAGGGTCAAAAGAATGATTCAGGCACAAGGGGAATAACAAACTTACTGCATAAATGACCAAAAATGCAACAATTTAGATTTTGTTGATAGTTAGAGGCTGCTAAAAAACAAAGCTAAAACAAACATCCTCTTCCAGCTCCAGGGCCAAACACATCATTGACTCAAGTGACTAAAAATCCAGAATGTTAAATCAAGGTTGTATCTGGAGTCTCATGTCTGATCATCCTTTCTATAAATCCTTGATAAAGTGTGTGTTAGTTTTATGGTACAGTCATAAAACAGACAAATGTAGAAGTAAATGACCTCATACCAGCTATCTCTCTGCAGATAGATTCACTTGGCAGAGAGCCAAGAATTGATTGACACACATCTTACGGAACTAGAGTTAATTAATATGACTACCAATTCCCAAATGGATCTCAGGAAGCAGAGAATCTGTTTAATGCAGTAAGCAATGACATACTGTGTGTGGTCAAAAGACAATCACTAATTGCCAAGAATGCATTCTGGAATAAAGTGTTAAAGAATATGAAAAAAACCCTTTCTACTTTGCAGCTCCTTTATCCCTTCAAAACCTTATGCTTAGAACATTTTAAAGACTCATGTTTCAAATATCAAAAGACATTTTTATAGGGAGAAATACTTCCCAGACTATAAACTCAAATGGTCTGTCAATTTTTCTACAAGAAGAAATTCTGATTTTTAAATACCTGAGTCCTCATTCATTTAACAATGATGTCTTTATTTTCAGGGAAATTTGCAAACCTGAATTGCAAAACCATGAGGTAACTTCAAAGAGCTGTTCTTTGGAGATCACAAAAGCTACATGTAACACAACTATGGATTCAGCAGTAAAACGCGTCCATAAATTAAGTGACTGCTGAAAACACATCAAGAACCTGGTTGCTAAACTGAAACTGTCTATGGAACAATAGTCAGGTAAGCCAGACTGAAAACAAAGTAAAGGGGAGTACTGCATACATGATAGGAAAATAAAAGATTGGCTTTTCTGGAGAAAAAAAGGATTGAAATGGAGAACAGAGACATTCCAGTCAGATCTTCAGCCAGAAAAACCAGCACAGCCCTGTTGATTTCTGTGAGTGATACTGTTTTTCACCAGGGAAGACCATACTTACCTATTTAGTTATGATGATCATTGACAAAACAGTACAAGAGCTCCTGCAAGCTCTCTGCAGCACTAAGCAAAAGTCAGTAAACTACAGATTAAAAAAAAAGAGGGAAAAGAGAGGAAAAAATGATTTTTTTTTTCATGAAAAAGGAAAGAAAAAAACCTAGGTCACATAGGAAACACTGTTAGTGTATTACAACAAATCTGAGAAGAGGGACTGATGAATGTATGACACTATTCTAACTCCCAGCTGAAGAAAGCTGCCGTGGTGTCAGACTGAACTGACTGGTAGGAGACTGAAGGACAGAGTTGGCCCCAGAATAAACACACAGGCTGAACTACCATTCTTATAGCTGGTATCTGTCCTGACACAAAAAAAAAGAGTGCATTTAACTTCATGAACCAGGTAGGATGGGCTTACTCGTAATTATTTAAGCCGCTGGGGGAAAAGATGCTGTGTAGGGGAGAAAAGTACAGATTCTGCTGTGATTTATCAATCAGCACGTCAGCATCTGATTCAGGAGCAGGTCCTACCAGATCCACTCACCAAGCTACAGAAACTACTGCGAGTGCATTTTGGCAGGAAGAGATCGTGCCTAAACACCAACAAATATTAAAAAAAGGAAAAAAGAAAAATATTGTTTTAAGATAGTTTACCTCAGGATGGCTTCCAACTTCAATATAGGTGCAGACTGGATGAAAAGCCCCTGTTCCGCAGGCATACAAGTGGGTTTGGTTGTAAGCCTTAAGCACCTTGATGAAATTTGCACATTCTCTCTGCAAAGAAAAGGGGGGAAAAAAAATGTATCCACAAAGTTAATTCAGTGATTACGACTAATGGGAGCTTTTCTGTGTTAGCAATGTATGGTCGAATGACCAGATTTTTAAAACATGATCATTAAAACATGCTGTTTATAAACTTATTTATTGCTAAGCATTTAAGAAATAGCCTGATTTAGGTTCTCATTGGTTGCCATTTAATAAAGCATCCACCCCTGAGGAAAAGATTACACAAAAAAATTTCCTAATGTTTGTTTCAGACACGTTTCATCTTTATAATTTATGCTATTGCCATGTTTGTAAGACAAAACCCATTTATAGAAATGTGTCAGAATGAAATAATGAAGAAAAATAGACCAACTGTTTGCTTGTATTCAATTAAGTAACAATTAGAAGAAAGACGGGCCAGATGGAAGGAACTGATGAAAAACAAATCATTAATATAACATTTCTAACAATAATATGAAAGCTGCCTCACCTCCATTGTCTGTGTTTAGGGGGCAGTTTTACAAAGATGAGCACATATGCTAAACCTTAGTGCAATTACAGACAGCCACTAGAATGTAAAATTTGTAAGACTTGGATTTTACATTTTCTACCTGAGTAAATTATCTGTCATGAGTAATGTTAGTTCTCAGCAATGGAAAAAGTAATAGTAACACTAACAGTCCCTACTACAAACATTATCTGTTAACAAAAAAGTCATTATTAATGTCTAATGTTATTAAAATGGTAATGTCTAACCTGATAGTCAAGATGTCAACTTTTTTCTGTCTATTTAATATTTTTATTTCCATCAGGTCTAACAATGAAAAGAAATATGTCTATGGCTGTGACTAAGGCTACTGACACAATTACAAACAATGGATTTCAAATAGGAGGAAAAACAAGAACATTGAAATAAAATAACTATTCCTATCAGGTGTTAAAAATTAAAGAATCTTTTCTATGCATATTCGATAACTTTTTTTGGTACTGCACTCAGCTGTACCTCTCCAAGTGGACCAGGGCCCATGGAAACACCACCTGAGGTATTGTCTCCACAGAAATCTCATTGACTGGCATCATCTGTCTCTGTAACTTGCTTGCTAATTAAACCAGATACTCTCAAACACAAAACAAAGGCTCTGCCAGGAAAATGCTTGTGCAATTTGAGGCATGCCTTAGGCCACCACAGGGGAAAGCAAGGAACTCACACAGATAAAATACCGATTCCCTGCCTTAAACAAAGGACCATACTGAAATGACAATGGTATTCCAATTTTATTGTTTATTTGCATAATAGATAATGGCAATGTAATAAAAAGTGCATCCAGAGAAAAGCATACAGAATCTTACTACCTCTTTGGCTTAGTGCTGATGACTTACGTTATCTTTCCAACTCAGATGGAAGAGAAAACATAGACATAGTTAAGGTAACCCAACAGGAAATTGAAAGAAATGGAGATGGATGTTACCAGGGGTCTCTCTTAATTCTTTCCATTCTGACCTTTCTTAACAAAAACACACACAATTTCTGGTGCATACATATTCTTCCTCCCACACATATATAAACATGAACATACATTTATTATATGTATCCACAGACTGCCTTCCACTGTCACAGTGGTAGAGTACTAAGCAAATACCTGGCATAAATCATCAATATTACAATGCATGTTTTGATATTGTTCTTAATGCTGTTATTCTTTGTTCCTTTTAATAAAAGAAATATGGAAAAACCATGGAAGTGTGTTAATAGTTCAATGCCTGCAAGAGAAAAGATAGGCAAATACAGTAACATTAAAAATAAAAAAAAATTGAATTGGATTGTTTCTTAAACTCTGATATTCTGTGTTTCAGATGGAGCATCTGACTTGGACTCCACGTAATTTATAACTGACCAATGATTAAATATTATTAAATGTTATTAAATAATTCAGCTTGTTCTTACTTAGAGTTGTGTCTCACCAAATTTAATCCCAACACTGCTTCAGTAGGACTGTGCTTTGCCTTGTCTGGTTTGATGTATAATGATTTAAAAAACGTCTTTGTGGTCTATTGCGATGCTTTATTGAAGCTTTCAAAAACTCCCTACGTGAATAACATGAAATCTTAGAGGCCAGTGGACATGTATCTTTGCAAAATGCTATGAACACCTGGGCTAAACCCAGAGGTTGTGCTGATTTCAGAGGTGCCACTCTGATTTACAGCAACACAGCACCTGCAACTCTATATGCACTTGCTAAATACTGTTCAGCTGCTTATCTATAATATACAGCAAGAAGGTATTAGATAGCTAATACTTTAAAGGTGAGATGGAAAACCCTACTTAGTTTAGGGGCAGAGACTTCTTTGATTTCTATAGATGGAAGTTAAGAAAAAATTTATCATCAGCTTCACTGAATTATTCCAGATTAGTCTGGGGGGGGGCGGAGAATTAACTCTACCATAACCATATTTGTGCTTCAAGTGTGCAGGATTTATAGCAGTGTCAATGCATTAACATAAGGAAAGTTACTCCAGCTTTATAACACATTTCCAAAAGCATATTTAGTTTATTCATCCCTGCTGTTAAGCTCCCCTTAATTCCTTGTACAACCTACTTTTTACCATAGATGTCTGAGAAATACACAGCCTAGTTAAACAATGGGGAAGGTAAATACCTACAGCAATAAACCTTTGACTATGACAAATAAATTTATATAACATTCAAAGTTCCTAGTCCAGTTCAGACTGCTCTTATAGCTTCCCTGTGTTTTATAGCTGCATAAAGGAACCATTAAGGTCTATTCAGTAAATTCTCATACACCTCCCTAACAGATTCGGTTTCTTTATATATTTTACATGATTGTAAAAAAATAAATAAAGAGGATTATTAAACCACAGTAAATGACATCAAAGTAAAGTTACAGTTCTGATTTAGGCCCTTGTCAACTCAGGAAGTTTAAAGTGAAGTTTCTGCCCTGCCTGGGAGACGGTGCTATTCTCCCTGGAACAATAGCGACAGGCGCATTGAATTCAGTTGCAGGGTAATCAGATTCCTCCCTTTGCCTCATTGTGCTCAAGTACAGCTGCACAGGTATAGCGTGATGTGTGGAAATGTTGTATCTTTGCGTTTGGTTACTTCGAACTTAGCAAGAGTCTGCTTCGTAATGGTGAATATTAGGTTTTCCCAGTTTATGTGGCTCTTGGAAGAAAAAGCCTCCCATAAACCTATAACAACTTAACAGCTTTTCATGGTTCACTCAGACTCCACATCTCAGCACATATGTATGACAAAGAAGATATTCTGATCAGGGAAAGCATATGTGCCTTGCATGCAATTTGGGTCTGCCGCGACATGAGACTTGGGTGACCAACTCTCATTTTCAGCCTCTGCTTCCCCATTCCTGCCCTCAGTGCAAGGCTCCTACAGTGGCACCTCCAGTTGTGAAACGTGGCAGACGGCTCTGCCGGCTCCGACACCAGTGGCTACGTCAACTCGACTACAAAGCAATTCCCCATACTCCTTGGCTGGAGGCCTGGAATGACTTGGGTGTCTCCAGCTGGGCTTGTCCCACTTGGCAACAGAGTCTCCCCTTGCCAGACCCCCGGGCCAGTGCTGTATTGTGAGTGTGAAGGTCTGTGTCAGCAGAACGAGGCATTTCACTACATAATCTCAGAGTGTAAGACACTGGAAAGGAGTAAAATACAGCAGACAGGAGAAAATCTCCACCGGAGGAAGAGGAAGTAACCCAGAGACAGAAGCTGTAAGGAACAAATTGTCAGGGAATTTAAACACTGTCTGCACATGAGTTCATCCCCCCAGTACCTTTGTATCCATTTTCACTTTCCCAGGGAAAGGATGTTGTTTAAAGCAAACATATTCTGTAGATACCAATACCCTTTGAATATTGCTCTTTGTCAAGCAAAACATCTGAAGGAAGAAAATCAGACTTCAAAAAATTATATTCCAGGTGGAAAACAGGGGTTTTCTTCATATGTGATTGCAGGGTGGTGTGGGATTTTAAAATACTTTTAGCCTAATAATGTGAATTAAAATGAATGCAAGGTTTGCAAAGTTCTCTGTAGACAGGAAAGTATTACTTGGATGGGTTATGAAAACAAATCTTAGAGAAGAGGAGCACTGGAATCACGTAGTGAATCATTATCAAGAATTCCATCCAATAATCCTGTTTACTATTATGGGCAGCTTAATATTAAGAAACTTTTCTGCCCTAAAGCTTGAGTTTATATATATGTATACACACACACAACAGAAAGTATAAGTGATTGCATATGGTACAGAACGATTGAGGTAGCTATTCGAAGAGAAAATTAGGTACATCATGTGGGAGTTACTACAGTCCTCAGAATCCCCATTCATTTATCTTGCCTACCCCTGGAGAGGATTAATCTTCATTCATATTTCAATAAATGGTATAAGGTTTCCCTAAGAGCTGTACTTTCTGCCTTTGGCCTTGTACAGAAGTATCTCTATCTCAAAATCCAAGCAGCTAAGCTCCTACATCGCGTCTGAGAACTTTTACCATAGCCTGCAAGGTCTTTCTCTCTCTGTCCTGACAGAGAGAACTTCTTTACATAGCTGCTTGTTTATGTTTTTACAGTGTAGCTGCTGGATCTGCTTCTGCAAACATTCCTGTGGTGGCACAACTGCCAATATCCTCCAAAATATGGCCAAAGAAATGGTTTGTGCCCTGTCCTGGCTCTGCCATGTGCTGTGGCTGAAGCACTCACCATCCAGCTTGTTTCTCTGTTTGAAGGAATATAGACCATATCCATCACCAAAGCCCAAACAGACTCTATGGGCTTTCCTGGGTTTAGTCTGGCATGTAAGGGCACAAGAACATCCAGCTGAATCCATTCTGCCTTGCATACAGAAGATAAAGGTTCATTTGGCCACCTAACTTCAGGTACATTATAGATGTTTATGCTTCCTCTAAACTTGACTGAGGAGGTTATGGAGATCAGATCCTCAGCTCCATGCTGACAGTTTATTTAAAGTGGCTAAAACC